TGCCATAATGCGTCTTTAAATTTCTCTGCTGGTATCATTTTCGGCGGTCACCAGTGAGCCCAAATACACGAACTTATCGACCACCTCGATTTCGTCACCGTCAATCTGAACTCGGGGTGGGAGGCTAACATTGTCTTCCCTAGAACCTTTTCCTTTCATGTATTTTGTCTTTGATGCGTTGATGGCAAGTCCAATCCGTCTAGCTTCAGCCTTCAGTCTGATGTAAGTTTCCGCCATCATCTCAAAGTTCCGTGCCATAATGTGAATGTCATCGGCGAAGCCAAGGAGCTGGATGGACTTATGAAGATCGTGCCACTCGTGTCTATCCCAGCTCTTCTGGTCGGTGTGACGTGATGTTGAATAGCAGACACGAAAGTCCATCACCTTGCCGTAACCTCCTTCGAGATTCAAAGGGACTCGAGAGTGTCCCCGATACTCGAACAACGCACATCACTCGATCCATCGTCGCCTTGACCAATCGCGTCAGTTTGTCCGGAAATCCGTACTCGTGCATAATCTGACATAGCTGATCTCGATCGATTGTGTCGTATGTGGATTTGAAATCGATGAACAAATTATGTGTGGGCACGTTGTATTCGCGGCATTTCTGCAGAACCTGCCGAATCGCGAAAATTTGGTCCGTGGTAGCGCGGGCACCCATGAATCCCGCCTGGTATTGCCCCACGAACTCTCTTGCAAATGGTAACAGACGGCGGCATAGAATTTGGGAGAGGACCTTGTAGGCGGCGGTCAGCAGTGTGATCGCGCGGTAGTTTCAGTTATCCAACTTGTCACTCCTCCGGTAATATCTCCTCCTCCCAAATCTTGGCAATTACCCAGTGCAGCGCTCTAGCCAGTGCTTCACCACCGTATTTTAATAGCTCATTTGGTAGTTGATCTACATCAGTTGCTTTGTTGTTCTTCAGCCGACCGTTCTCCTCCTCAACTTCTTGAAGATCAGGTAGCCTGTCGTCTTCTGCGCGTGCTCCAAGGTCTGTTGCCGTGCCACCTTCGTTTTCTGCTGCTTGACCGTTGAGGTGCTCGTCATTGTACTGCTTCCACCTCTCAATCACCTCACACTCGTTCGTGAGAAGGTTGCCGTCCATGTCCTTGCACATATCGGCTTGCGGCACGTAGCCTTTGCGCGAACTATTTAGCTTCTCATAGAACTTCCGTGTGTCGTTTACGCGGTACAGATTTTCCATCGTCTCGCGATCTCGGTCTTCCTGCTGACGCTTCTTCCTTCGGAAAACCGAGTTTTGTCTGTTCCGCGCTTGTCTGTATCGCTCCACATTCAATCTCGTGCGGTGTTGCAGCATTCTCGCCCGTGCTGCAATCTTCTCCTCTACTAACAGTTTGCATTCGCCGTCAAACCAGTCATTTCTTCGGTCCGGGATTGCAGTACCTAGTGCCACTGCAGCAGTACTACCTATGGCTGAACGGATGTCCCTCCAGCCATCTTCAAGAGAAGCTGCGCCAAGCTGCTCTTCCGTGGGTAGTGCAACTTCCAGCTGCTGCGCATAGAACGCTTCTTTCTCGTCGTTGGGTCTCCCTTCGTGTGGGCAGTGCACGTTGGTGATGCTGCCCATGTAACATTGCAAGTTTTATGGAGGTTTCAAAGTATGCTACAAGTCTAAATCATGGTCTCCAGAATCCTTATAAAACCGAAATTGTTGCTTGGGTGTAGTTGAAGAAACGGCCCTTAATTATCAACTTGCACATCCTCGGCTGCCAACCAATCACGCGTTGTCGCATCTTACCCAGCACTACAAAGCCGGTTCCCAGCTCGTTGGTGGTGCCACAGCTCTGGTAGAAAGTAGCCGCTCGATGCCCGCTTTTCCATACCTTTTTTTCCCGTCCAGCAAAGTTCCTGCAGTGCTATGACTTCGAAGTTGCGTGGTTGAAGATCGTCATAGATTAACCTATCGCAACCCGCGAAGCCGAGCGATTTGCAGTTCCATGTTCCGAGTTTCCAATCGTAGTCCTTATTTCGTCACGTAGGTCTGTGCCGATTGTTCCGATCCATATTTCTTTCTTCAGTATTTGCAACTTTGTTTTTTTTTCAGGGTGGCTTGTTGGGCCTGCCCCAACCCCCTGTCTCGCCGGGGGACCATCGTGCACAGCTCTGTTTAGAGTCCCACGCAGTCATCAATCGTATGTTGCCTAAATCGGAACCTTATGATATTGCTATTTTGACGTTATGAAGGATAAAATTCTTTAGGTTAGTGCTTTACAGAACATTGTGGAGTTGCTCGTTTGATGTTATTAAACGGCTTGCAAAAGTGCTCGTCTGCTGGTCTCTCGCCAGTGGCGAAGATTTTGAGCAATCTGAAGGATGCCTCGCTGGATACGCCCAAGACTGGACGGGCGGTAGCTGCTGGCCGTGAACGGATCCTCGGGAAAGCACTAGACGCTAACCTCCTCCCAGATGACCAGATGGCAATGCAAGAAAATTTGTTTTCGTTAAAGGAAATATTACAGCAAAGGTAATTGCTATTAGATATTTTTGCAAACAGTGACAGATAGCAGACATGAAGCTCAAGTGGAGGTGCCGGGCAAAGGTGTTTTATCCTAGACAAATGGTAAGCTACAAATTCACTGTTGTCATCGTCGTAGGCACCGTCGTAGTCGCTGTCGTAGTCGCTGTCGTAATCGCCCTCGTAGTCGCCGTAGGCAGTACCGTTAGTATATTTTAAATTAACCACCAGTCGCAGAAAACGGTATGAATTATCGCGTATTTCTGTTGTTTATTACATACCAAATGAAAACTTAATCATATCTTGCCGTGGAGTGTTGTGATTTTGAGATTGCAGATAACCCTAGAGGGATCGGTTTTGCTTAATGACCAGAATATTATGGGTTTAATCCCAAGCTCTCCCACAACAGAATAAACCACCATCGTTGGGTTCCGAGAGCATAAAGCGCAGTTAATAGCCAATACTTGAATTGTTTAAACTATGAGTTTCGGAAAGGCTGTATACGTGATCTAGTTTGGAAGACATAGTTGGCTGCTTTCAGAGACGTCGCTTCATTTGAATAACTTTTTGTTGAGTCTGTCGTAGATTATGCTAATGTAAGGGGCATGGTAGCTATATAACAACATTTTTTGCTAAATGAGTAGAAGATCATGGGTTAAAACCCAAGCCTCATTACATTACCTAGGCCACTATTGTAGAAAATTGTTAATAACGGAAATTCGAGGAACGATTCAGAAAAGCAATAAGTATATTTAGACTAATATGACGTACGCCTGATCCGGTTCGGAAGACACTGTTAACTACTTTGGAGGATTTCATTTCATTGTAATAGCTTCTTGTAACCGATAATGAACCACCGTCAGTCGGAGCTTGTTGTGATGTAAGGGGCACGGTGGCCTTAGAGCGACCGTTTTTGCTTACTGAGCAGAAGATCTTGGATTAAAATCCAAGCTCCTTTACGTTACTGAGTTGATAAGGTCACGTCATTTGCTTAGCAGCCTTTAAAAGATCGCATCACTTCCCAATGTGAATCCAGATCTGACTTACCCTTCCCACTAACAAAATCGTCCTTCCCGTGACAACCGTGGAGATGCAGAGGCATACTCGGTGTCTCTAGTAACAACGGTTGTTGAAATAACAATCTTTTCCCTCCCCGATGACCGTAAGGACGTGGCCAGCGCCGTTATTGACCTCAAAAATAAAGATTCTCCGGATTTTGTACACTGAGAATGGATTGCTAGTCCCAGCCCCATTCATATGGTTCTTTGTGCAAATTTCGCTAAATCTGGTCAATCACGGAGTAGCAACTACTGAAATGTATGGTCGTCCAACTCATGCTCCTTCTCATGTAAAGCTAGTTATTAAATCAATTCTTTAATGATAAGGCTATTTTGTCAAAAATTGCCATTAAATTTCCTCTTGAGCATCTAGGTGACTTTTACCATGCTGGTGCTTCTAAAACCATTTTCTATCTGATTTTCTGATTTTTAGGCTTCAGGTTTCAGGGTATTCTTAGCGTTTTTAAACTCATATATTCCGCATGTTTAGCTATTATGAAGTTTTCGGTTGCAAGAAGATATGTATATTGATGGGTTCTTCTTCTTAATGGTTCCTTTCTCCTTAATTCCTTTATTTATCGTCGGTTTCTGTTCCACAATCTAGTGACAATCACCGACGATGCCAGATTGCCATCCATTGACGGCAATCGAATGATAGGGAGGTTGGCTTCCACACCTGGTAGATATCAAACCCATGAATAAATGGACCGGAACAAACTACCGAACTTTTTTTAACCTCAGAAAAATCGCAACGACTTCGGCTGGGATTGAACTCAGATATACTGGAGTAAGAAAACAGTCAGGCTTACCTCTAAGCATCCGGTGCCGTAATTTTGATGACTGATGACTGAAGGTAAATACGCTTAATAGCTAGTGCCGAATCTGGCTCACCTACCCTATTACTACATTTACTAAACAATTTTTTATGCGTTCCGTTCCCTTCAAACCCACGGTGCAAACTTCTCCTGTGATGCCATTCAGCTGCGTCTTGTGACCGTTCCCAGTACAGGAGTACAAAATCTTCCGGGGATGAGGAGTAGGAGACAAAAAACAATGCTTTAAAAATAGGCACTCGTACACTGTTGGCCGAAATAATTAGAACACCATAGTTATCTGTTCCGATTGAATGCATTGAATGTTGTTTAATGAGAGTACTAATTAGTTTTAATCAAACAGTCGATAGTGAATAACTTTAATTACAGAAACGCTCGAGTGGATTTTTACAAAGCTAAAATCTTGTCATTCATAAAATAACAGCACGATTCTAATCAACATCTAAACATTTGAGGAACATATTCTCAATTGCACTGGTTTGCATCTTGCTACCTCCGGAATCCAAATGCCGAACAAGATCAATGGCGAGCAAACGCGTTTCAATTAATTCACACAACCGTGTTAATTATACTCTTTTATTGTAGACCACTTGGCGGTCCCCGCACTTGGACTGGCTGAGAAACCGCGCGCGCACACATTTCGGACCAGTCGATAACAACAAGTGGTGTGTGCGACTACTCAAGTCTAATCGTTTTGCGCCGACATTGACGACCTACGACGTCGTCATTATTACCTACTAGTCCATTGACGAACGAAAAACCAAACAAGTGAAAGCCAACGACTTAATGAATTTTCAATAGCTTCCATCTGTTATCGGAGAAAATTCTGCTCAAGTGAAATCAAGGATCTAGTTTGTGACCTGCTTTCCATGCCAAGTGTGTAGCAAGGTTAAAAGTTAGCCGGCAAATAATTGCAGCTACAAAGCAGTAAAATTATCACCATTATAAAATTGTGTTCATTTTGCGGTGTGCAATGCCTGAGTGCCAAGTGGGAATAAAAATTGTTTGAAACACTGAGATAGCAAAAGGCGTAATTTTCCAGCAGCTGCATCCGGAAAAGTGAAAAAGGAAAAAGAATCGACGCTGGCTCAGTTTTTACCGAAGGAGCAGCGAGTGTGCTGTTGAATAATTTAAATAAAATTGCAAAAGTTTTATCGTTTGTTTTCGGGGGGAAGGTGGTGGTGTGAAGAAGGCTACAACGACGACGATCGGGAAGTCTCCGATGTGACATAACCTCAAAATTAAAGCAGATAAAATGTTTGGTCGAGTGTTGTTCCTGACACTGCTGGTGGTGGGAAACTTTGTCCTTCACTGGGGGACTGCTACCGCCCAGCGCCGTAATATGGCAGACGTTGAACTGGACGTGCAAAGCAATTCCATTACGTTGAAAGCATGCTACGTAGAAGATTTACGCAATATTCGAGAGCACAGTCAAAACCCGCTAACGGTCAACATAAATCATTGTTATCTTCAGGAACTACCAAATGCCATCTTCATACGCTTTACGCATTTGAAGACTTTGGAGATTTGTGACAGCCGACTTAACAACCTGCAAGACTTTGCTCTGAATGGACTAAGGAATCTCGAATTACTCAACTTTTCCAGAAATAATCTCACGTCCATCAAATCTTGGAGTGATCATGATCTGGAAAATCTCCAAACGCTAGATCTACGCAGAAATCTCCTAAAAGGTATCAATTTTCAATCCTTCAAGCGGTATCCTAACTTAACCAAATTGATCCTGACCGTGAACATGATCTCAATCATACCGGAAGGAACCTTCAAAGTCGTACCCAACCTCAAGTACCTGAACCTAGGCCGTAACCTACTAACCTCGATCGATGAATTCACCCTGAAAGGCCTCAACAAGCTGACACATGCCTCCTTCCATCATAACCAAATAACTTACGTGGATTTTTTTGCCTTCATCGGCAACAGCCATCTGAAAACCCTTCATTTGCAAGGGAATCACATCAGCATCTTCGAAATAGATCTACTGTCCAACTTGCCCCGGCTGGCTTTCCTCAACATCAGTCACAACCAGCTGGAGGACATTGGCGATAATACCTTCAAGAAGAACGCTGACCTCCGAGTCTTGGACCTGAGCTATAACAAAATCGAAACCTTCCACGAGGATAGCTTCAAGGGATTAGCCAGTTTAGAGGTAGGTGCTGAACCATCTTCATCACTACCATAAACCCCTACAGCACACACAAAGAGCGCAGATAAATCTCTGTCAACTTATCGCGTTATCTCGTTTCCGTTCTAGATGTTTAACGCCAGCCACAATCAGCTCTCGCAGTTGAACAAATACATCTTCAAAGATTTCTCCTTGGTTCGAGTCCTCGACCTTTCCGGAAACCGTTTGGTCTACATCGAAAACAAACTGTTTGAGTACAGTCCACGACTGGAAACTCTGAACCTCTCTCGCAATGCAATTGCCGAAATCGAGCCAAACATTTTCGAAGACTCGAAAAAACTGTACTCACTGGATCTGTCACACAACCAACTGATGGAGGATGCCTTCCTGTGGCCAATCGTCAATTTGAAACACCTGAACATGAGCTTCAACATGTTCCACCGGTTGAATACGTCCCTGCTCGAGAGTTTGGGTCACGTCAAGCTGCACAGGAATCCATGGAGTTGTCAGTTTTTGATTTTGGAACTCTTGAAGCAGAGCAAAAATGTAGAGTATGGCAAGGACTACGTGGTGACATCTAAGGAGAGCATCTTGAACACACAGGGAATCGAGTGTACGGACGAGCGGGGCAAGCAGAGGGACATTGTCATAGTGGAAAGTGCTGCCAAGACGGAGTACAGCTCGTCGGTGAGTACGATCGGATGGATTAGGTGGCTTATATTGGATTTCTTTAAGCCAGCGGTTGGAATTGCTATGTACTCGAGTGCTGAGTTACTTCAAAGCTTTCGTATTATCGCGCTTGCTTACTTAGCTCCTTATTTGAACATATTTGCTCGCACATATTTGCTTACATATTAATTTACTTGTTTGCTTACACAAAACGACGGCTGTATGTGTTCAGTTATGTAATCTCAAGTAGTTAGGTAAATTAGAACGATTTTTGATTTGCAATTCGTACCTACGTTTGCGTTTGGAACATTGCAAGATTCTTTGTTATGGACAATGATTCACATTGTTGCTAAAATTTTGCCATTTGGGATAATGTAAATCTCGCTTGGATAAGCTCGGAAACGACATTATTTATCAAAATAAACATTTTTTTCCCAGAGAGACATTATTTTTCTCCACAACTTTGTTTTAGATGTCATTTTGATCAAAAATGCCGTTTCCATGCAGATTTCTTTCTTTTTTTTATTCAAGGAGGGGAAATGTTGACTTCGGCAATACCTTAACCAATTATCGTCAGGGGGTAAACAAAGTCATAGAGCACTAAAATTTGGCCAATAGATGCTCTGAAATACAATACAAAAATTGAGCTCTCAAGGACATTGTTTACCCCCCTGACGATAATAGGTTAAGGTATTGCCGAAGCCAACATTTCCCCGACGTCATTTTTAAAAATTTTACTAGATCCTTAATGACCGAGTTTTAGCAAAAATGTGAATTATTTTCTATATCAAACAATTACGCAAAGTTTTATTCAAATTGGAGAAGGTCAATTCAAATATTCAAATATTTGTTTCGCTATTTTGCCAAGAACTGCTTTGTTTAGCATAACAGAAAATATAATTTACTATCTAATAATGGAATGTTCCATTCTTACATACTTATTAACTTGATAACTTACGTAGTTTACTACTTCCTTACTTCCTTACTTCCATACTTACTTACTTACTAACTTACCTACTGACTTACTTAAATACTTACTTACTTAATTACTTACTTACTTCTTTATTTACGAACATTCTTATTTACTTTCCTACTACCGGACGTTAAGCAAACGTACACATTAGATTTAATGAACGTATTTTTTTTTTTTCGTCAATCAGTGTAGACCAATTGCAATAGGCATAATGGACGTTAGGCTTAATTTGGGTTATTTTGCTTCTGCAAATATAACAACTTCAACAAAAACATGTTTTCTGATGTGAAAAAAGTTGTCGCGCATTAATGGCGCTTCGCTCAATTTCAACTGCTATTCAATTTTCACACTGCCCTACACTCAAAATAATCGACACGTTGTTGTTACGTGAAAAATCACGTAGGGTATCTCTTTTTCCTTTGCTGTCAATTTTACGTGGCCCAAGTAAACTCTACATGATACCACTTATATGTAAACCGAAACTGCTTTCGAAATCGTCAGATTTTTTAATGACGTTTACGTGAATTACACATACACAGATTCTACGTTCGTTTCACGTAAACCCTAAGTGATTTTCACGTGTGAAAAAATAAATGAGTGATTCACTCATAGTGCTATACAATATGGCATTAGCTCATTGTGCATGTTTACATGCCATTGAAATCCAGATTGGTTTAGTTTTTCGAGACAATAGGAGACAATTTCGAGTTGTAAGTATAATTAATTAAAATTTTACAAGGAGATTATTTTAGTTTGTTCCTTTTTTAGTATGACGACAAATAACCATCATCTATGAACTTCAAATCGAGCTTCAAGTCAAGTGGAAGTTATAAGCCGATGCATTTTTGTTAGTGTTCTTGTCTCTGTCGAATTTTATTTCATTATATGTTTAATGCCAATGTGTTTTTTGTCTATTTATGTATGATTATTAAGAAATAAAGAATACATTTTATTGAAATCGAATCGGAATTAAATAATTAGTTTTTTTCCTTGCCGGGTATTTTCATCACTGCGACCATTTTTCTGATCTATTGTGATATTTTTTTTATAATTACTTTATTTGTACAGGCTCAATCGAATAAACTTTACAGAGCCGAGTTATCCTTTGCGTTATACATTATTACTGTCTTAAATTTAAAGTTAAAGGAACTGGACCGAGTACTCGCGGTTGTCTCGAGGTTAGTGGAGATTTACAATTTTTTGGATGGGAAAAGGGAAGAAGGAGGTTTAAATGTGGTTTACGATACACCTATTTAATTAATCCTAAAGCATGAAATTATTTCTATTCATCTCAAAAAACAAACATTGAAAAAAAAACCCACACGTACAAAATACAAACTAAACACAGGTTAATCAAACTTACAATCTAAGGTTAATATCCTTAAAGTAAACATATATGAGTTTCATAAACTCCAGATCGCGTCTAGCCAAAATATCCCGAACTGGAACATTAGGTTGTCTACCTCGAGCCCGAAGGGAACTATTGTGATATATTCCCCATTTTTTTCTTTAGCTATATCAAGATGCCGTATCACTATTATTAGGAGTGATCGCCATCGTTTGACTAATAGCATTATCCCAGCACGGCATTATACTTCGAATAAAGTGCACTGCCGTACTGGGAGTTGTTCTCCAAATGTCAAAGGGTTCTATCAGCCCCTTGTCGAAGAACTTACGCCTTTTATTGAAAATTGCCGAAAAGTGGCATAGCAAATGTTCCGAGTCTTCCTTTTCTATGCCACAGAAGCGACATACATCATCTTGAAGTTTTCCAATCAGCTTCAAGTGATAACGGCTCGGACAATGACCTGTTATAAGACCTGCATATATACTAAGATCTTTCTTAGAAAGTTCCAGGATTTTGTGGGTCACAGAAATGTTTGGATTAATAAATCGCTTCGACTGCCTAGCAATGGAAGTGTTCTTCCAGTTTTCCTCCACTTTTGAAGATTCCCACGCTTTTAGCTCCATTCTAAGAGATGCAGCCGATAAGCCACAAAAGGGCTCTGGCCCGATGAACTTATGAGAAGATCCGAGTCTTGCTAGTGCATCAGCTCTTTCATTTCCCTCAATCCCGCAATGACCAGGAACCCAATATAAGTTGACTTGATTATGACAAGACAAATTTTGAAGTGATCCCAGACAAGTTTTGATGTACATGTCGCCGACTTTAAAGCATTTAGAGCAGCTTGACTGTCGGACATGACGCATATATTTGAACTCTTATAGTTTCAATGCAAACATATAACGGAACACTCTAAAATTGCTTGGATTTCAGCTTGGAACACAGTTGGCCATCTGCCCATAGGAACCGATATTTCTATCCCTGGGCCAGTTACTCCTGCTCCCACTTGATTGTTCAATCTTGAACCATCTGTTTAAAAAACAATCGATCCTGGACGAAGAACCGGGCCACCAAATTGCCATGAATTACGCCCAGGGTCAACTACTCGGAAAAGTCGAGTTCGTTGTTCCTTACTAGACAGTTGATACTAACAGTTTTTAGAATCGTAAGATGTCCTCTAAGGTCTCCTTCAAAGAGTTTCACTGACCTTGTAATCCTTAGAGCACACTTTTCGGCTTCTAATTGTATAAATTGATGCAATGGTAGCATATAAAGCAAAGCATCCAATGCTTTCAATGGTGTACTTCTCATTGCACCTGTTATTAAGAGAGTTGCTAACCTTTGGAGTTTTTCTAACTTTCTCTGAACAACACTCTCTTTTGTTTTTGGCCACCAGACCAATGCACCATAGGTAATCCTGGGTTTCACAATTGCCGAGTAACTCCAATGGATCATTTTCGGTTTCAGTCCCCACTGTTTACCGAATGTTCTTTTGCATATCCATAGAGCATTAGTAGCTTTGTTTATTGCCTGCTCTAGGTGCATATTCCAATTAAGTTTACTATCGAGGATTACTCCAAGATATTTGACAGCATTAGAAAGTTCCAAAAGTGTGCCTTTCAATCTTATGTTGTCTAATGAAATTTTCTTCCTTCGGGTAAATGGCACGATAGTAGTTTTAGAAGGATTTATGTTTAATCCTTCCCTATCACACCACGATGAGACAAAATTTAAAGCAATTTGCATTCATATCATCTGCGAAGCCAATTATTTCGAAGCCATGGGCTATTAAATTTTTGAGAAGATCATCAACTATTAAAGACCACAATAGAGGAGATAACACGCCTCCTTGCGGGCATCCTTTGGTTGCTCTTACACTGATGAGTGAGCTTCCAAGGTTTGCTGATATTTCTCTTTTTGATAACATTTCATTGATCCAATTTACAATGCTTTGATCGAAACCACGTTTCATCATAGCTGTAGTCATTGAATCGTGAGATGAATTATCGAATGCACCTTCAATGTCAAGGAATGCAGCAAGTGAAATTTCTTTTGCTTCAAAAGATCTTTCTAGTTTTGTAACAACCGTATGGAGTGCTGTTACTGATGACTTACCTTCCTGGTATGCAAATTGATATTTGCTCAGAGGATTTGTGACGAAATATGATGACTTTATGTGTTCATCTATTATTTTTTTCCATTATTTTTAGCAAAATAGACGATAAGTTTATTGGCCTGAAGGATTTTGGTTAAGTTTTATCCTTTTTATTAGCCTTGGGAATAAAAATAACCCGCACTTGTCGCCACACTGCCGGTATATAGCTTAATATTAAGCTTGCTCGAAATATCTTTGTTAGAATAGGCATTACAACCGCTTTTCCCTTCTGTAGTAGTACAAGAAAAATTCCATCCCTGGTGACTTGAAAGGTTCAAAGGACTCAATCGCCCATTCAACTTTTCTTTCAGTAAAGATTTTGTTGGCCAAAATGCAAGCATCAGCTTTTGTTCTGTCTAACTCAGTCGTTTCATTCAATATTTCATGAATATCCGTCCTGATTTCATCGATACCAATTGCTGTTGTCGTCACGTTTTGGTCTTCGTTTGAATTAATAATAGAACATGGAAAATGCGTTCTCACCATCAACTCTAACGTTTCATTTGTAGAAGTAGTAAAAGAACCATCCTCTTTTTTCAAAGTGC